ACCCTGTAGGGAGTCTGTTAAAAAAATAGCTTTTACTAAAACAAACCTTCTATTTATGCATAGAATCATTGCATCCTTATTCCCAAGAAGGTGTAGATGTTGAACCTCTACAGAGAATTATTCATATCATTTTTTTGAAGTATTGTTTATATAATTATGTTTAGTTGTGGTCTTCACTACCATATTTTTATCCATCTTTTCCATTCGAGAACTTTATATGGTTTACACTAACTCACTCATTTATTCAATGGAATCTAACATATGATCTGATCTCTCAAATAATATATTGTTTGAGATTTTATAATGTTCTACAAAAATTGTATCGATGATTTTCTAATCCTTCACTAATTAACTTGTTATATTTTTTTTCTTGGCTTCAGATTTAGCATTTTTATTTGAATTTTTTCTGTACTATATGAGTATGTCTTGAAACTTTTGGATCCACGGGAATACTGACTACTAAGAAAGTTCTTTTTCTTAAATAAAACTCAAGCCTTGTATAGTAGATATATACTAGAGTATTTTTTTCAAGTACTATGTCAATATTAATATTGGGTGTAAAATTTTGAAGAAAGTATTTATGATGTTTGTAAATGAAACGACTTATATCTTGGTTATACAATTGTTTCACATTAACGGTGAGTTTGGGAATGCTTCTGGTAAGGGAAAACTGATTTTCCACTACACAAGTAATGATGCACGAAAAATTGAGTTAAAATCATGGCTGGAAAAGTATTTTTCAACCCAAACTTAAAAGCTAAAATTTCTAGATTTTACTATAAAAAATCACTTTTCCGGTGAAATTATATTTTTATCCTCAATTATTTGATTCTCAATTATAATATAATATCTAAAATGGTCGTTTTGTATTTTTAAAATCATTTTTTAAACAATCCCTAACAATTAAATTTTAAATTGAACTTTTCTAAAACTCTTAAAAGTACTTTTCTATAGCACTTTTCAACCTCACTTTTCAAAGTAATTCTAATTGTGAAAAGGATATGAAATGTTACATCTTTTGATCCAATGCATCAATTGATTAAGAAAAGAGAGCTTCGATATTATGGAATAGTGATTGTATATACTATTGCCAACACTCCATCGATTTCATACATTGTGAAGATTCCATAAATATATTTCTCATGTTGTGGAATTTATAATTTTTTATTATTTATGAAAACAACAGTGTAATAGATTTTGTTATTAGTCGGACTAATTAAATATCATATTTTTTTTAGTTTAAAACTGTATGTACTAAGTTCCAATTTGCTATAGTTTTTGGAAAGTGAATTTTAAAAGTGTCGTATAAACGAATTTTTGAATTTGATGTATAAAAGTATAATTTAAAATTTAATTGTATGAGATTACTTTTAAAAAGTGAGTTTGAAAAGATAAAATATTCATTATAGACATTATGTTGTAAATTAAAAATATAGGATTTAAATTATATTTACACTTATATATGAATCGTATCAATTTAAAATATAATAAATTTTTAAAAATATTATTATATATGAATTATATCAATTTAAACTATAAAAAATAAAAAATAAATAAAAAATATAATCATAAATAAAAATATATTTTTATAACTCACTATTAATATTTTAATATATAAATCATAAATTTATTTATTTTTAAATGATAAAAATAAATTATTCAAAGTAATAAATTATTTTTAAGGCGGTTAGTATTAAATTATTAAAATAAAATGAAAATACATAACTGATTGGAGCATATGCATTAGTAAAGGTAAAATTATAACTTTCTTCCAAGCGCAATGTTGAAAAATGAAAAAAAACTAAAAATCTTAGCTTTTGTGGTTGATTTGAAATCAATGTTTCCACCAAATTGTTTTTTTTTACCCATTTGACATTAATTGTGCTGTCAAAATGAGTTTTTTTTTATATAGCTAAAAGTGTTTTTAGAAAGCTTTATGAAATGGACACTAACGGTCAGTTTGGTAAAGCTTTTGAAAAGTGAATTTTAAAAGTGTGATGTTTAAAAGTATAATTTTAAAATTTAACTATTTGAGATTGTTGTTAAAAAAATGAGTTTGGAAAGATAAAATGTTCATTATATACATTATGATATATAAAAATATGATAATTGAATTTTAAGATAAAAAGTGAGTTTTGTAATTCAAAAATATAGAATTTAAATTATATTTACACTTATAAATAATATGATATATAAAATATATCAACTTAAACTATAATAAAAATATGAAAAATATTTTAAGATAACTCATTTAATAATTAAATTTTAAGATAATATTTAATAATTAAAATTTAAGATAATATTTTTATTATTCCAATTCAACCACACTCGTTTAAAATTTAAAATGACATAATTTAAATGATATATTTATTCTTTTAACCATTCAAAATAAAATATATATGATAAATAAATTCAAATGAAATTATTATTATATATGAAATACATCAATTTAAACTTTAATAGATATATAAATAAAAAATATAATTATAATACAAATATATTTTATAATAACTCACCGTCAACATTTTAATATGTAAACAATGAATTTTATTTATTTTTAAGTAATTAAAATAAATTATTAAGGACGTTAATATTAAACTAGTAAAATAAAATCTAAATACATAATTAAGTGGAGCCCATTCATTAGTAAGAATAAAATTATAATTTGATTTCAAATGCAAAGTTGAAAATAAAAAAGCTTTTATTTTACTCATTTGGCATTTATTTTGAGGTCAAAATGAGCTTTTAAGCTAAAAGTGCTTTTAGAAAGCCACACTAAACATGGCCTAAATTATTCTATTTAGTTCTTTTATTTGTGATCCATGTTTTGTATTTAAAAGAATTGATTTACAAATTAATTTATGACAACAATTCCTATTTTCTTCTTCCTCAAAACAATTTTATGTTGTGTTCAAATTTATTATAAATTTTATGTATTTTTATGATATTTTTCCTTCTATAATATTAACCTTTTATCATAACTAACCATAATCCTAAAGTTTTCTTCTCATATTGTTAAGGGATGGGATGAGTCTACAACGCACACCACACACCGATATGTACCAATATAAATTTATAAATAGTCATTAAACTATGATAAAATGATTTTTTTGTCATTCAACTTTTAAAAAATTATAAAATGAAATTAAACTTTAGATTTCCTTAAAAAGAAGTGTTGACACTTGACTCGTTAAGGGCTAATGTGACATATTAAATTAATAAAAAATCTCATTTACCCCATTAATTGTGACTAAAATTTTGTTTTTGATATATTTTTTAATAATTTTAAGTAATAATTGCAAAACAATAGATTTTTTAAATATATAAATATTAAAATTTATTTTTAAATTATAATATATTTTTAAAGTTATATTTAAAACTATTAATAAAGTTAAAGAATTGAATCACATTGTTTAATAAAAAAATGGTTTCATTTTTATAACTAAAGTTATTGGATTTTAAAAATTATAAATTTTCAAATATAATCATAATTAAATAAAAAATTAATTATAAAAAAATTTGTGAATTAAGAAATTATATTTTTTTTTAAAAATTATTATTATTTTATGAATTAAAAGATTAATTATAAATTTATAATTTAAAAAAATAGTTTTAAGATTTTAAAAATGAATCGTGTGTATACATATATATAATTGATTTTTTAGAATCATTGTCTCAAAATATTAAGCAATATCAAAATGAAATTTAGTTTATAATTGAGGGTTGAATGAAATAATGTTTTAATTAATTTAACATGTTAAGTTATCACTTTAATGATAATTAAAGATGTGATAATTTGTAATATAGTTGAGGGAGTGATTGAATGAGATATTATATAACTTTTAAAAGTTCAATGTTCAAAATGAATATTTTAGTATAATTTAATGACCATTTAAAAATTTTACCTTCAAAATGAGTGATAGAATTTTCCGTCAAACCATAAATTTGAAATGAAAACTAACCACATTATATTTAAAAATATACTAAATATAGAAAATCATAACCACATGAAAAATCAAAACCACATGAAAAGGAGTAGAGGTTATTTCGGACATGGAAAGCGTTTTTTTTCGGTAGATATCATCTTTCTCTTCTTTTCTTAGTACAAAAATAATGGATGATTTTACCTTTTTTAGCAAATTCTTTGTGTGATATTAACACGCCATATTTTTAGAGTTGAATTTGACGATATTTTTAAATTAATAATGATATTTTTATATCTATTTTTTATCTGAATTATTTAATTAAATTTTTTTACTTTTTTTCTTATACGGTATTTATTTTTTAAGTTATTAGTTTATGCATCTTAGATAATTTTAAGAAAACTAATTTACTCTTATTATTATAAAAAATTCCGATAATTTTAATTATCCACTTTCTATTAATAAAAACTTGGCACTATTATTAGTAAAAAAATTATAATCCTTAATCAAGAGTTTTTTTAATAAAATTAATAAAGAGTTAGTTGTATCACTCTAAATTATAATTTAAATAAATCTTTAAATTTTTGAATTTTAATTTCATCCCTAAAATATGACTTTCATTCTAAATTAGTCCTTAAACATTTGAACATATACATTTATCCTTACACTACGACCTTCTTTCTAAATTTGTCCCTAAACTTTTAAATATTCCAATTTCATCCAAATATATAATTAGTTTCAACCATAGTTTAACCTATGATAATATAACTTGGCCTGATGATTTTATTAACAAGGGATGTGAATAGTATATACATATAGTTTGGGATAAAATTGGAATGTCAAAAAATTTTAGAGACCAATTTAAATTGAAGGTCATATTTTGAGGATGAAATTAAAATATTTAAAAATTTGAGGACTAATTTTAAATTATAATCATAATTTAGTAATAAAATTGAAACATTTAAAAAATTTGGTATCAATTTAAAATAAAGCTCATACTTTAAAGATATGTGATGCAATTAATCCAGCAAAAGAGAAAAAGACGCAGCCTTGAGCGTTGGTACCTTTTTTCAATTTTCTCTTCGCAATTGTTTATTTAAGTGGTTAAAAAAAACGCAATGGAAAAAGAAGGAAGAAATTGAAGGGGGAAATCCTGCGATTTCTTTCTTCTCGCTGTCTCTGGAGCGAAGTGCGACATCTTCGAACATACACTCCCAATTTGCTGACGATTTTAGGGCTCTTTAATTTTCTACGCTAAACCCCAATATGGTTAGTTCGTTTTTCCTTTCTCTTTTTTCCTTAAAAGAAAAACTTTCAGTCTGTTTGTTTATCTTCCATTGCTGCTTCCTATATAGAAGTTGCCTTTAGTTATTTTGAATTTTGTTTTCTTTCTACTCTCATAAAATTCGCCATGGAAAAATCGAAGGAATTAAGTTATATAAAACGGTCATTAAGGAATCTAGCTGAAACTAAAGATTTGCTTCTGCTGAATCAGAAAAAAAAATGTATGGGTTAGCTCTTATAAAATGTTATTCGTACGGGTAAAATTTATTTCAAAATGAAAATGTGCTTTTAACTGTATAACCAGGTCCAGGAACCAAATTTCTAGCTTATATCGTGTAATATGATTTTGTTGTTTGGAACAGCATAAGCTGGGCAGAGATCATCGGGATAAAGTCCTGCAATTCATGGAAGTAACTGAAGCGAGGTAAACTCATTTTTCTCATTGTTCATATTTGGGTTTACCTAGGATATACTTTCGAAACCACTGTTGATATAGAGGTAGTTTTAAAAATGGACTGGAAAAAACAGTTTCTGTGCAAAGATGAAAAAGAATGAGAAATGGATATGTAAAAGATACCGATGATTGAATCAGGTTCCTCAGTGAAAACCTGATTGTAAGGCTAGTAATGTCTCTTCCCATGTTTTCCAATGTCATTTTTTCCCAGTTATCATTAAATTATGGTTTTTCTATGTATAACAAGATTGAATGTATTAGTGACTTGCTGCCCCCTTTTTCATTCTTTAGTTCATGTATTTATTTATTTGGTTATTTAATTGTAGTGAAAAACTTGCTCTTCGAGCTTTGAAGGCAAGTGATTGGCGTATTGATGGAGCTTTCCATTATTTCTTTTGCCAATCTCATAATGAAAGTTATACTGACACTACACGTTTGGAAGAGCTTTATAATAGATATAAAGGCAAGCTTTTCTTTATTCACTCCTTTCATTTTTTGTTTCTCTTTCTATTTTTTAGTTTGCTTAAATAATTTGTGGTTTTGCTTTAGTATTGTTGATGGAACATAACAGTTAACAGAGAATATTGATGATTTTCTTTCTGTTCTTTGAGATATTGATATGCTCTTATTTTCATTTCAATGGAATCCTGAAATTCATTTCTGCTGCTTACTTTCCATTGATTGATACCTTGGCTGTATTTAGTACCTTGTACGATTCCTTTCAAAGGAGAAAAAAGAAGAAGGGTAAATAAATAAAATAAAATACTTACTCCAATATTTTATGCAGATCCTGACAGTGATATGATACTAGTTGATGGTATTACTCTTCTATGCAATGACCTCCAGGTAGCCTTTTTTTATACTTTGAGATCTGTTGTCTGACATCTTTTTGACCCCTTTACTTCAGTTTTTTATTATTTCATTTATACATAAGTTCATTGGCATTTCAAAATATAACACGTAGTAACCTTCTTTTGACAGGTGGACCCCCAAGATATTGTTATGGTATGTCCGCAGCCTGAAGTACAATCTCTTGTAATAAGAATCATAGATTCTTTTTACTATTTATATTCTCCTCCTTAGCTTACGTTTTCTCAAGTCTGAAGTGCTAACTAAAAGTTTAAGAATCATCCTTTCCTTGCACTGCATATGTGTGTTGACCATGGTCTTTCCTTTTTCTCATTGTGAATACTATTAGTTTCAAATTTTACATCCCACTAAATAATAGTCTTCACTAATGGTGATGCAGCTTTTCTAAATTATTTTTGAAGTAACTGGTTGGACTTAAAACAATTTGCAATTTAGAGGGTCGTGGAAGGAATATTTTGGCTTTCAGCAAAAGCTAATGAGTTGGCTAGAATAGTTCTGAAATTTTCATTAATCAATGTTGCTTAGTATGTTTTCTCAGAGCTCTAACTACAGTTATGATGATTGATGACTTGGGAAAATGACAATGGTGGTACTTCAGGTTAAATGTTTTGTTAAACTGTTGGAGGAAGTGTGGATGTTACCATAGACAGTTAAATCTTCTAGGAGGTTTCACAAGATGTTAATTGATATTTTGAAGTTGTTCCTATCTGGTTCCAATATTTTGTGGACACTTGTGCTAATATTGGTGGTAAATTGCAGTTAGTCGTTTCATGGCACATGAAGGCATCTACCATGTGTGAATATTCCGAAGAGGAGTTTTTCATTGGGTTGCAGGCACTAGGGTGGGCATTTATGTCTTTCTAATAATTTCCCAACATGAAATGAAATTAGATTCAATAATGCTTCTTGTAATGTGATTCTGACAGAAATTTATAATTTTTCATGGCAGGATAGATTCTGTGGAGAAGTTTCGTGAAAAGATACCATTTATGCGATCTGAGCTGAAAGATGAACGTATGTTCAAGTGCTCCATAGATTATAATTTTCAGCATTCTACAAGAAATTATTTTAATGACTCATGCATGTTGTGTTGGCAGAAGAAATGTCTTCTATTCAGATATAGTTAGAGAATTACCATTTTTTCTTCCTCCAAATTAGTTAGATATATTCATATGCTGTGATTCATAAGCAAACATATTTGTGTGATGCAAGCTTGTTTTCGTCTTTGCTTGTTGTGAATGCAGAAAAGTTTCGCGAGATATATAACTTTGCATTTGGCTGGGCAAAAGAAAAGGTAGTCTGTCCTTTCATGTCAACTGTCCATGATAGAAGTTTTCACTAGGCAGAAGAATAATTTGCTGCTAATTGAGTGAATAGTTTAAATGAAGTTAATATGGATATAGACTACCTTTTTTGGCATGGTGTTTCGTAGATTATAGATGGTAAATAGAGTTAGATTACTGTTAATAACTAAGTAGTTTAGATATCATATAACTCTTATCTCTAAGTAGTTTAGATATTCTATAACTCTTATCACTTAATAGGATAAAATTTTATCTAGAGTAATTTTACTTGTATTGTAACTCTATGCATTTAGTCTATTTAAAGGAGACTTGTAAGTTGTAACTCTATTTTTTCAATAAGAAAATTATCACAGAAAATCAATTTGATCTCTGTCACGAACACTTGGTTTCTTCATGTTTCTTTCTCCTTGTTGGCAGTTGCTTGCTTCGGATGATTATCCGTGTTATATCAATTGGAGAATGTTTATGTTACAAAAATAAAGTTTCAGCCTTTAGATTACATTTCTTGCTATATATTTAGTAGTAGGCTTTCTTTAAACTATGATTTAACCCTCAGAATATCCACTAGAATGTTAATCTTGGGAATAAAATACATTCCCCTAGATAATGGCCTTATGCAGGTAAATAATAATATCTTCTGTCTCAGGGTCAGAAATCTTTGGCATTGGATACTGCAATTGGTATGTGGCAATTGCTGTTTGCTGAGAAGCAGTGGCCATTGGTTGACCATTGGTGCCAGTTTTTAAAGGTACCGTAAAGCTTTCCTTCTTAGTACTCTTAGGAATTTTGTGATATGATGTGACAAAAATAGGCACAGTAATTCTAGAGTGATCATTTTTAATTGACCTGCAAGATTACTTGCATTAGTAATTCAATGGTATAATTTTCATCATATAAATTTAAATTAGTTTATCAACACCATGATAAGAAACTTTGTGGCAAAATAATCTCTGCTATAGATGGTCGAATGTTCTTAGTCTTTGCTTCGTATGAAGGATAGAAAATTTGTTAATCAAATGGTTTTGAATCATAACCAAACCATTTGATTAACAAATTTTCCGTCCTTACTAATTTCCATCCTCACACCAAGCAAAGCCTTAAAGTTGAGTAAATCTTTTGAAAGCTGTCTTAGTAGGAATTTCTTTAGCATGAACTTATGGCTGCAAATTTTAAAGGAATGATGATCTTGGTGTACTATTTTTTTCTTTCATTCATTCATGAAAGGTTCAATCTTTGCCTGATTTCCATAAATTTGAATGTGGTATCCTTTGTTAAGTCTTGTCAGATATGAAATTATAAGAGCTTGCTTGAATTTCGTCCACCCTGACTTGTTGCTCTTTAACTGTATTCTTTGATGCCGCTTGAACCAGGCCCGACATAATAAAGCAATCTCTAAGGACACGTGGTCTCAACTTTTGGAGTTTGCTAGAGTAAGTTAAAGGCTTCAATTCAGTGTCTTGGATATTTCTGCATGCATAGAGTTTGTATTCTATCATCAACTGTTCATTTGATTAATGACTTCATGCTACCTGACTTGCTGCAACTAAAGTGTTAGTGTTATACATGGCTATGTTGTTCAGATTTGGGTGTAAGTATCATACAAGATCTAAACGATCTGCGGATGCTAAATGATAACTGGTCAGGCAGCGAGGATCCATTAAAACTTTATAGCCGAGGCACTGATGACACATTATTTCTCTAATATCTATCATGTTACGTTAATGAAAAACATGATAATCTTTATATTCGTGTTTGTCATGCAGACGATAGACCCTGCACTGTCAAACTACGATGCCGAAGGTGCATGGCCCTATCTTATAGATGAATTTGTGGAATACTTGAAAGAGAATGGCATCTTTTAAAAAGGGCTGCTGGTTGGTGGACATGGGCGTGGAATTTTCAAGATCCATGTTGTTAGTGTTGTTTATGTCGCGATGCCAACATGGAAGTAATTATTTGATTTTTCTGAAAATAAGATGCAAAGCACCTTGTGTGGTTTAAAGCATTTTCTATAAATTACTCGATCGTGTTTATATTTTTATTTTTCGGGTCCAATGGGGATAAGAAAGCGTGTTGGACTTGGGATTGCATTTGTTATTTGGACTTTAATCTTAATTATGAATTTTAATTTAATATTTGGTATTTGAATTTTGTTACTGCAGATTGATTTTAAAACCATGCATCGTGTTAAATTGTTTAAGAAAATGGTTGATATAATTCAATGAGTGAAAGCTACTGCTGATGCTTTACATAAAAAGAATAAAAAAGAATCCATCAAAGGGGTAAAAAAAAGTGATTAATTTTTTTTAGAAGTTTTGAGTTCGAGTAATTATCGTTAGATGTGTGTTATGAATAAGTTAAGAAAATTTTAAACAAATATTATCTTCTAATCATTTTAGATTATTTAAGAAATATAAAATAAGAACAATAATATTTAAAACGTTTTTGTAAGCCAAGATTCTCATTATTGAAACCGTAGGTATCATTACCGTATTTCAATTCTCTCATATACCATACCATAATTGAATCGTCCAGAATAAATATAGCCACCCAAGTATCTAATGGAAATGATTAATCCATCCAAAATAGTTATTTCCAACAGAAAATTAGTGGCGAATAGTAACAAATTGTGACGTTCAATTTTTAAAAGAAAGAACTATAGTGGAATTCATTGATTAGTTTTGTGATTAGAATGAATGTAATTTTTTTTAAGTTATGGATTCGAGCAACTGCATTTGTAGGGTGTGTGTATTGTTAATGATCGAAAAAATCTTGAACATATCTACTTCATAATCATACCAAATTAGTAAAAAAATTAAAGAAAATAACTATAATCTATTGTTTGAACCCATCAAGTAACCTCAATGATAAAAAATAATATCGTTACGTCTATGCGCAATTAAAATCTCATTGTCTATATTTTTTATACTACAAGGTTATCCTATGGACTTCACATCAATGAGTTCCGTTCATAATGGTTACGTGGCCATAAAAACCCCAAAACCATTATATAGTAGTTAGATTTTAGAGATGCCTGCCTTGGGAACAAATGGTACGAAAAACATTATAAATTGAAATGGGAAGATGGTGTGGAATAGATCCTTCCATGCTTCTTGGCATTGGTGAAGAAAGCAGTTTTAGGATGTACACAAACATAATTATTCTGAAGAAAATTGTCCCTTTTTTTTAATTGAAAACAATGGCATTGGCACTGATTGCTAAATGTAAACATGAAATGAATATGTGTAAGCCTAGGCAAAGGCATCTTTTGCATTAATAAGTAGTCCGTGAAGGCAAAGCAACGCAACTCTCGGGTACTACGTTTTGGATAGCAAATAGTAAGGCCTGAAGAAGAGAGCACTTTTAAAGTAGGATTTTCAGCTACCGTGTTTGATCATTCACTCTTTTTCCCCTCTAATTTAATTTTTACCTTCAGCTTTTAAAGGTAGCGTGAGAATCCCCTTTTTTTATACTCAATCCATGGCATTGGCTTCTGAGCTGCGTTTCCTCACTCCTCAAATTTACCTTCTTTTAACACTTTTACTTTGATTTAAACCTAGGTCGTTTGGATCTATTTGGATTCTATATTTTTTTAATAACCTGGGTGATTGTTTAGAATCTTTCCTAGACACAATGCTCGAACCAAAATTTTTAAGGATAACAACACCATCTTTTACCAATGAAGACACTTAATGAGTTCTTTGAATTCGATATTTTATCTATTAATTGAAATGTTCAAGTTTATTTACAGAAATAATTATCCACAATATTAATTTTGTTACATTAAATTAAAAGTAAAGTATAAAATGGTCTCCGACTATAGAACATTGTTTCGTTAAGTTTTTCGACTATTCAAATTTACAAAATGGCCCATTGACTATAGGACGATGTTTTATTATATTCCTCGACTACTACAAGTTATAGAATTGTTATCTAACTCATAGGTTCCAAATTCATCTTTTTTGTTAAAAATTGATGAACGTCTAAGCTGGACGTTAACATATTGACTAAAATACGATAACATCATATTTTATTGATGCCTACTAGTGCCATTGTTGCTTTCAAACACTGACTCGTTGACATAATATTTTAAGCATTAGCTCGAAGATGTAATGTAAACGAAGAGTCAATCCACACAATATAACTCAAGTGGTTATGGGATCAGATTTTATAATACTCTATTCAACAAGTTAACGTCCAATTCAGATAATCATAAATTTTTTAAAGGAAAAGGACAAGATTAGAATATATGAGTAGTTGAGTGACTTTCGTAACTTTTAAAGTTAAGGAGCTCAACAACGAAGCACCCTATAATTAAAATATGTAAAAGATCAATGATCAAAGTGAAAATGAATAATAATTAAGTAATCATAATTATAGTTTACCCTGTAATTTATCATAAGCATTTCTCACAGTGTAAAAGATATTCCAAAATTAAGTCTTTTTGTGAAGAAAAAGAATCATCATATACCATTTCAACTTGGGATTGAAGCGAGATTAATTAAGGATTAAACTCAAACTTGATACCTACAAGGTGAGAGATAGTAATTAATAATGGATGAATGGCAGTTAAAGTTAATCCCTAGTGATTCTTGCATCCCGATACCCAAAAGTCTTATTCTACGCCTTGCACTGAATTTCATGCCATGTGATATTATATAATCGTTTTAGCACTCTCTACGTACTAATTTGTTATAGTTTAAGAGAAATAGAAAGAATTCAAGAAGATAGAGAATAGAGATTTCATAGAAAAAGGAAATTTTTATTCATAACTTGAGAAATCAAAATGACTCTGTAGCAGTATTATTTAGTTACAGGGCTAAAAATGTAATTTGAAAATATGCCAGTTGTCTTATAACAACCTATAACAGACTAATTTTTATCTTCTTTCTCCTTGCAGGTTATTGGGCCACACGACCTGGGCTGCTTCAACTCCTCTCGGGCTGGAGACTTGGGCAGGTCTGACTCTGCCTGGACTGGGTAGTCAGATGACTCCATTTCAGCAGGTAAATGCATCATACCCCTTTCTCGTGTTTCAATCCCTAAATTCCCCTTTTCAATTCCCTCTCGAGCCTCAATCCCTAACCTTGACCTCTGCTTTCCCCAATTGTTTCCCCAATTCCTTCTTCTCATCCACGCTCATCTCCTCCAACTGTAACAATACCCGCCACTGGAAAAGATCCTTGTCCCCAAGGATCAAACTCAAGGAACTGGCCTCGAAGAACAATATAGTCTTCTCATATATCATTGGTTTCATCGAGGTTTGTCCAGCGCACCAACAACTGCATTACAGGTTTGTTTTGTCTATTTATGATTCGTATACCCATAATCTTGTATGGCTCGATTCTAATCTGACCATCATCGTCCATGGAAGGAGGGTCCGTTGAAGAGACTGTTGAGTCACCGACGTGTTTCTTCAGGAGGCTCACGTGAAAACAGGATGTAATCTAGAAGAATCTGGTAAGTCCAATCTATACGCAACCTCTCCAATCTTCTCAGTAATTTTATAAGGTCCGTAGTATTTTGTCGCTAACTTTAAATTCTTGCGCAGGGCAAGCGAAGTCTGACGGTAGGGTTGTAATTTCAAGTACACAGTATCTCCAACTGCAAATACTCTTTTTGTTCTTTTCTTGTATGTGTGTTGTTTCATTCTTTTGCTTGCATGCTCTAGCTGTAGCTTCACTAACTGTCTAATATCCTCCCTGCTACACATTAACTCACTAACATACTGTACATTAGTTTCTGCTTGCCAAACCATAGTAGGAGGCTTGTAACCATACAATGCCTCAAATTGTGTAAGCTTTAGGGCAGTGTGATAGGTAGTATTATACCACCACTCTGCATGTGGCAGTCACTTAGCCCATATTTTGGTTGAAAGAAACATAAGCCCCTCAAATATTGTTCCAAACATTGATTCACCCTTTCTGTCTGACCATCAGTCTCTGGATGGTAAGCAGTATTAAATAGAGTTTTAGTGCCAAGTTGCTTCATCAGTTCTCTCCAAAAGAGACTGGTGAATGTCTTGCCTCTGTCAGAAATGGCCATTTTAGGCTGACCATGAAGTTTATAGACAGTATCCAAATATAATTTGGCTACATCAGCAGCTGAATAAGGATGTGATAAAGCTAAGAAGTGGTTGTACTTAGAAAATTTATCAACTATCACCTAAATGCAATTTTTCTTTAGAGATGTAGGTAGACCTTTTATGAAGTCCATAGTAATTATCTCCCAAGCCTGTTGAGGAATAGGCAGTGGTTTAGGAGTCCTGGCTTAGCAATATGTTCCACTTTAGTCTGTTGACAAACTGTACAACATCTGATATAAACTGCCACCATAGCCTTCAACTTAGGCCAATAAAAATAAGTCTTAATCCTTTGATAAGTGGCTTGTGTTCAAGAATGTCCCCTATGAGGTGAATCATGTAGGATTTGAAGAATTTGTAGTCTTAGAGTTCCAGTAGCTCCAATATAGACCCTACCTTTAAATCTAAGGATACCCTTAGAATATGTCCACCTAGGATTAGCAGTAGGATTGACTGGTAATATAGATATCCAGTCATTTTCCATTCTATCCTCTTTATAGATGTCTTCCACTTCCTGCACCCAACTAGGAATGATTAAGGTAATACCCATAGCCATATACTGACCTTGATCTTCCCACTGTCCAGAAAGGGCACCAACAACCACATTGGACTTACTCTTCCTATATTGAATAGAATAGTCCAGCCCCAATAATTTAGTCAGTCATTTCTTTTGAATGACAGTAGTTAATTTCTGCTCCAATAAGTATTTGAGAGGTTCATGGTCATTTTTGATGATAAAAGGACTTTTTTCCAAATAATGCCTCCATTTGGATACTGCTAATAAAATAGAAAGGTATTATCTCTCATATATAGATAGGGCATCATGTCTAGGACTAAGAGCCTTACTAAGGTAGGCAATAGGTCTACCATCCTGAGATAATACAGCCCCAATTCCTCCTGAACTGGCATCTGTTTCTAAGTAAAAAGTCTTACCAAAATCTGGTAATGCTAACACATGGGCAATACACATAGCATGCTTCAGATTTTCAAAAGTAGTTAGAGCCTCAGTAGTCCACTTAAAACTATCTTTTTTAAGCATATGATTCAAATG